TGTTAGGTAACTATTATTGAAGTGTGCACAAGATTGCATGTCAAAACAATTTTATTGTTAGCTAGTGGGAATTACACTGACTGACAGCAGCACTTTAACTGAGACACAGTGTAGTTTACTTGTTATTTTACTTTTCTATAGATCAGCTCTATATATTTCAGGAAACTATAGTCTTGAAGTTATAGAGCTTGTCCTTAGAAATGCATACTCTCTCCCTCTGCCAGTATCTTTAGCAGGCTGATACAAGACAGGTGAGTGATAAGGTATTAAAAGATAATGCTTTTAATTTTGTCTTTCTGTGTGACAGAGTATCAAGGCCTTAATAACATAAACAATGTGACTGAGGAAATGCAGGTAAAATGAAAATGAGCAACAGTTGAGCAACAGTTTTGGATAGTTTTTGTTTACTTGTTTTTTACCTTGGGGCCCAATCCTGTTCCTCGAATTGTGCAGTTAATCAAGATATCCCAGACAGAGGACTTGATTGGGCATTCCGGATGGAAAAAAAAAAACAACAGAGTTTTACATCAAATACAGATATTAAAGGGAAAACCAGCTGATGGAAAAGAGGTGACAGAGAGCAGTGGGCTTTTCCAGTTAAAAAGTCACTCTTAAAAGCCACCTGGCCTCACCTGTACGCATCACAGATGCTGTATTCACAACTGTGCTCCCTCATCTGTGCAGGAGCAAACACACAGCCCAGGTACGGGTCCCAGCGCCCGGCAGGTCAGCCCGACTCGACCCGGCCCCGCTGCTCCTCGCAGGCGGCCGCTAGGTGGCGGCGCGGCGCTGTCATGGCAGCACCCCCCGGGCCCTCCCGCGCCAGCAGCGCCCGTGCCGGCGTCGAGACCGGAGCCAGGAGGAGTTGTAGTCCGCTTCCACCAAACCTCCCCCTTCTCCCCCCTGCTATGAAGTCCCATAGCCTCCGAAACTCGCGCAATGAACAGTAACAGACCTGCTCCTTGGTTCCCTTGGTCTACCAGCAAAGGGAAACCCTTCCCTCAGAACTTGCTATTTATTATCTTCAGTTGAAAACATTACCTGCTATCACACAATCACCCTGAAAAAAATCAGAAAATCTTTTGACTTGAGCCTTTGCCACCCATGTGTATGGCTACTTACCAAAAGGTCGTCTTCTTATCACCACATCCAGAAGCAGGAGCCTGCAAAATCCGCTGCGTCGGCCGTGCTGACATCTCCGTCCACATTTAGGAATTCCACATTCATTGTATCTCTGTGCTTTATTTTAATCCTGAGAAAGTACTTCAATAATTTTGCAGCCTGCTTCAGCATAAGGACCACAACTGTACAATAGCATATCTGACAGCTACAGAAACACGTAGGGCAGGATTGCCCTAATGAGATGGATGTGTTTGTCAGCTTGTCAGTGTACACAGTGTTTATCAAGGAAGTGATGTTAACTTCGCTGCCGACATTGCATTCAGGTTTCTGACTTCCTGTCCGTTCACACTACTAAACTAAGTAGCTGACTTCAGTGCCTGTCAGAGGCACTGAGGTGGCTAAGCTCAAGTCGTGTTTCTGCAGCAGTCTGCGCTGCCGGGATTCCCAGTTTCAGAACAAAAGCATGCTTTTTACTCTATCTCCCACATCCAGCACATTTTTCATGTTCTCAATTAGAGCTCAGTTGCCATAGAAAGAATAAACTATAACAACAACCTAATGTTGGACCTAAATGGGTCAGAATGACTTAAGAGTAACTTAACAGAGGTCACAGGCTTCTACCTTTGCCTCTGGCACCACAAAAACACCTCACCACTGCTCAGCATCAAGATGCACTGGAAATGATAACAGTTTAGGATCACAGTTAACCATGGATTCACAGTATCACAGCAATTAACAGCGTTACAAAATGCTAGCAGAGAACATATAAAGGAAAGGGAAAAGGAAAAGGAAGGAAGAAGAAACAAGAAATTATTTGAGAGGTTCTAGTCTTCATTTTTTGAGCCTTGACACACTTTAGTGTGCACAAGTGCACGCATGCACGTGTTACCCCACCACATGACTGTAGTACCTGCTACTGGATAACAAACAAGAAAAGGAAATGTGGAAGGAGATGGTGAAAAGGAAAGTGGGTAGAATAAGGAAGCCTGTTATTTTTTATTTGTCTTTTAAGACTGATGGTTTTACATAAACTCACACAGCTTCCACGTGGAAGACTGATTATTTTGAAAATGAATGCAAAGATTCACTCCTGGGCAGAGATATTTCAAAGCAGTAAAAGAGTGCCTCTTTAAAATGTCTTTGAACAGTAGAACTCTTAATGATAGCAGCATGAATAAGGCAGTGCTAATGAATTCAGTCCTTGCTAAAATACTGCTGGTAAAATACTGCGGTGTTTTTGAAGTAAAAATTTCAAACTGTTTTGGTTTGTTTGCTTAGAGTTCCATCTCTCTTTTTCACTTTCTTTTAATCCAATGGGATTTTGGTTCTGCCTGTCATTTTTGAAGTAGACTGGAAAAGAGGGGAAAGCCCCATGGGGAATAAATTTAACAACCAAATGCTGTCCCTGAGAAACCAGAGTGGATCCTCTGTGCTGGGGGGCACCAGCACAAAACAGGAGCTGTACACAACTCTCAGGCTGTGTTGCCCAGGTCCCATTTGGGTTTCAAAACCCATTGGCAACATTTTAGAGATTTCAAAGTGTGTCCATAAACATCATGAGGAGCTCTGGGTGGTAGAAGCCTTTAGCTGTCTCTTATTTCATTTGGGTGCCTAAGGAAGAGCTAACACCTAGTACAAATCTTGCACCAGTACCCAGCTGTCAAGTTCTGGTTTACCTCCTAAGCTCTGTTCAGGTTTTTCCCTTAGAAAAAAAAAAAAACAAAAGCCCATACTTTGAGTACTGTTAATACACATGAAGTTTTAGTTTGAACTGAATTCAGTTTATAAGGATCTGTTCAACATTTTTTTGGCTCTGCCTGATTTGCTGGGATACCTTATTTTATGTTGAGAGGAAGTTTGGGGTTCTTTTTTGGTTGATTGTGATTTCTTTGGTAAAAAAGGTTGTGGCTGGGACCCACTATCCAGGAGTGCAAAGGTCACCATGCTTACTCCCATGGGCAAACCCTAGAGAAGTAGGCCTCTCAGTCAGAAATCTGTTATCTCTGCATCCAGCATATTGTTTCCTTATCAGGAGATACCAGTTTTGGAAGAACTTGATTTCAGAGTATGACCACAGACCACTTGGGTTTGACCTTCAAATGCCTTAGATAGACACAAGCCTTGAAAATGACTCGTGCCCTGCAAACTTTTGTGGAGAAAAAACTAGAAGTGGCCATATGCTTGACACTGCTGCTGAGTCAATGAATTGCAGTGCTCTAAATCAGCTGAAGCTTTAGTTAACCATAAATAAGCTTTTTTTTTAATCTGGGAAAAGAGAATAGTAGTATCAAAGCTGACAGACTATGATTTTATATGTTAAATATATGCATGCCCTTATATGACATGAAAGGAAGGAGTCTAGAGAGGAAGAACAGTTTTGTATTCCAGTGTCTGCCAGCTGGCAAGAGCAAGGAGCCAAGTAAATATACCTAGAGACAAACCTATGGCTACTGCTGTTTTGCTCAGAATCTCAGCAGTACAGTGGGCCCAGTGCCATGCAGACATCCCAATGTACGCAAAGAGGTTGCCAGGAACCTGGCAGAGGAAACAGCTCTGAGAGGTTTCCTTAGAGCAGCTAGAAAGCTCATCCAGCTCTCAGCAGCAGCATTTTCAACATCAGCAACAATAAATGTCTAGGTATTTGAAGGCTGGATTCAGATTGGAAATTAATATTTACTTGTATCAATTAGGAATAGACAAATGCTCTATGATCATTACCCTAACAAAACCATAACTCTATCTGTGGATTTGAAAACCTGTGCTTGAATAGAGCTGTCACAACATCTGTAAGCATATTTAAGTTCCTCTAACTCCCACTGATTTCAGCACAAGCACCAAAATTGAAGTTAAATATATAAATACTTGTCTCTGTTGTATTAGGTTACAGACAATTTTGTCTCCTGTTAAGATTATTGCTACTGTGACATGAAACTGTATGTCATGAAGCTGTATGACAAAGTAAATGAACATAAGAAGAAAGTCAAAATGTCCATGAAAAGTATGGTCACATACCTGCTCTATCTGCCTGGCTTTTCTTTCTTTCCTTATTGTGCTTCTTCCAATTACCTGTTTCAGTCCCATCTTGATGAGGAAAACCTCATTTTCTTCAAATTGATGCCAGCTAATTTAATTTTCAGAAAGAAATTGAACATTGTAAGACCTAAATAATTCTTGTAGCTTTTCTGATTTGAGTTCCAGACAGTAGTAAAAGGGAAATGTTTAACAGTACTTAATAAACTGTCTTAGTAGTAGGAACATGAATTTGAGATGGTGAACTTATGTAAAGCCTACAACTTCATGATCATGAGTATTTACACAGCTAACTAATCTGTGCCTGACTGGCTAATTCAAGTACAGAAACAGGTTACCCAGCTGCTGCGGTCAGTTCACTTAGGGTTTAACTTGTGAACTTGGAATACTTGCCACAACACTTCTGTAATCACTTTAGCAGTAACTTATTGGACAAACTGTTCATGAGATAGCCTGAAGCCATAAAAGAATCTTCAATCCTTTAATGAAAAAGAACTTGCTTTCTTTTCTTTTTTGTAAGAGCTAAGTGCTTAATACAAGTTCTTGGCTATGACACCCTGCCTTCTAACCAACAGGCTGAGGCAGTGCCATGAGGCAGCCCCATATAACCCTATACACACAGGTCTGCCACTCACCCACTGACTCCATGCTCTTGCTGCTACTCCATCAATGTGGTAGTTATCCCAGCCTTACTCACATATTAGGCAAATTCATCTTGGGAATCGTTTCTACACTTGCATTCATATCAAAGCATGTCACACTACAGCACTTCTGCTCAAGTCTTGCATATTCCTATTTGCCCACAACAACTAAATACGATCTTACCGGTATTCAAAAAAGACACACACCCCAAGAAAAAAAAAAAAATTAAAAACAGAAAACCAAAAACTAGACTTCTGTTTCACCTTCATTGGAAAAACTGATCTTATGACCAGGCAAGTATTCCTGATCATATTGCAAAGTTTCAATATAGCATATATGGGTCTTAGAATTCTAGTCACAGGGTCTATCAGTGATTTAGCATTTAAGCAGAAAATGACATCTGTCAGTCATATCTATTATAAGTTTACACATCCATATTTCCCTCAGCTATCTATATGAAGTGGATCAATACTGTACTAACAGCTCCACATTGTCTCCAGGTATTTTTAGTCTCTTTCCTCTCACCCTGCTCCTCTATCAAGCAATAAGTTTAAGTCAGACTCATCACAGTGGCCCAGCAATCTTAATTTATAGGCAGAAAATCTGAATCTTTCCACTGTTGATCTTATTGTTTTTACAGACTATTGATTGCGAGCCATCAGGTTTCAGCAGTTCAAAGGGATCAACCTCTGGAAAAGAAAGGCAGAAGGAATAAACCCATACACATGTCCAGAGAAGGGCCACGAGGATGATCAGGGGACTGATCAGGACCTCCCGTATGAAGACAGGCTGAGAAAGTTGGGGCTGTTCAGCCTGGAGAAGAGAAGGCTGCGTGGAGACCTCATAGCAGCCTTCCAGTATCTGAAGGGGGCCTATAGGGATGCTGGGGAGGGACTCTTCATTAGGGACTGGAGTGACAGGGTTAAAACTTAAACAGGGGTAACGGGTTAAAACTTAAACAGGGGAAGTTTAGATTGGATATAAGGAGGAAGTTCTTTCCTGTTAGGCTGGTGAGGCACTGGAATGGGTTGCCCAAGGAGGCTGTGAATGCTCCATCCCTGGCAGTGTTCAAGACCAGGTTGGACGAGGCCTTGGGTGATATGGTTTAGTGTGAGGCATCCCTGCCCATGTCAAGGGGGTTGGAACTTGATGATCTTGAGGTCCTTTCCAACCCTAACTTTCTATGAGGGAGCAATTGCAACTGAACTGACAAATTATATTAAGCTGATTTTGCGTACTGTAGATAAATAGTAATAAAAAGAGGTCCTCGGACCTCTTCTATGCAGCATTGAAACGTAGCTAGCCAGAGGTCTGCAGCACACCAGTGGCCCACATGGCCTTGCAGAGAAGGGCACGCTGGTGAGGACCACAGCAAGGGCTGCATGAGACAGGCATTCCCCTAAAGGGGTTCCAAATGGAGCAGAAGTTCCATGGTCCTCCCCATGAGCCTATGCTCACCTTATGCTTCAGTCTAGACAGAGCAAGAGGCACCACCTAAACCAGAGCCAGAGTGGAATGCGTAAGGGAGTTAGTAACAAGCCCACCAGCCCTGTTGAGGCTTCGCCAGCAAGGGAGAATAGTGACAGCAGACAGAAGTGCCCAAGTGAGGTCTGGGGGTTCCTGAGCAGCTTGCCACTGCTATTTGACTGCTGAAGGGCAGTGGAGATAGGAAGGGTAATGGGAACAGCTAGAACAAAGAACCTGGTTTTCACTGGCTTGGCTTCCTTTTGGTGTTGGTATACTTACAGCATGAAATCAAACTCCAGATTCTTCTACCTTTCATTCAAATGGAGATGGTATTTCCCTAGAAAATGGTTTAATTTGCCCTAGAAATGTTTTCATTTTAACATACGAGTCAGACAGTTAAATTTTTTAAGTTACATATAAACATAATTTTTAAGTTACCTTATAACTTAGACTAGAGTTTGGAACTGTGGGAGGATTTAACAACTGTTTTTCTTCCACTATTCTTAATATTTGGTGATATTGCATGCACTAATAAGGTATCAGTACTTCAACATGGCACTAGAGTTCAGGGTGCCCATTTGATATTAGATTCATGAGGCCTTTAGGACAGAAATTCAGCTGCAACTTTCAAGTGCAATTTTTGATAAACTATTTGCAAATGAGATGTACTGCAAATGTTTGCTCATTTAATTAGAACATAAAAGATTTTTCTCTGACTGGAGCTTGCTTCTGACCCTTCTTGCCTGTGTGTGGTTTGTATTGTTCTTGGCTAATGAGATATAGGATACGTACTAAACATTTACACATTAAAGGCATCCTTCATTCAGCATGAAGGTGTTGATACATCAAGGATACCTCAAACATGCTGAGATTCCAACAACTTGTCAGACAAATTAGCACCTTGCCAATTGGGGTTAAAATTGAGTTTCACATTTCTCCCTGGTGGGAAGAAAAAAAAAAAATTAAAAATCACTGTAGTTTAATGCTTTCTCTGTAAGTATGAACACAAAAGGCTTTACCACATCTGTAGTGTAAATTATAGCCCTCACTGACTATCTGATTTTTAATTCATTGGTTTTAAATGATCCCAGGCAGTTCAGAGCAAATCCATCATGTCATTCCTCTCTTGGGGCAGACATCTCCCCTCTTTTGAGTTTAATTAAACAATTTCTTTCAGAATTATTTAGAATATACACCTGTATGTTAAAATGGATGAAAATAAAATCTCAAATCTGTATGTTCCACTCGCATTTAACTACCAGAGTTTTTTAACCCTAAGTCTAAGGACTACGTGGAATTAAGGGACTGTATGGCAATGAAATGATAAAGGTTAAATTTTAATTCTTTTTTTTTTTTCTTCAGCTGAGTAGGGCTGAAAATTTGTGCTCAGTGCTTCAGATTACTGGGGCTGTGCATGGGACATTCAGAGCACCAGAAAGTCTTACTGTAAAATAATCCAGCCTAATCAAGTATCCCAGTCAAGTAACTGGTCTGGGAGTAAGGTTAAAATAGCCACTACAGCAGGAACCAATGACTATCCTGTACCTCTAAATCGCAAATTACATATGTACTGGAGAGACCATGACACAAATTGCTGCCTACATAAAATTTGGGGACAAGGGGTTACTGTCAAAAAACTCAGAGGCAGGAATTGTTTGTGCATCAAAAGGGCTTTCTTGAACTTATATACCTTACCACGATCCCATCACAAGCACACCCTTTCAAGATTGTGAGACCAGCAAATCAAATCAAACTATAATCAAAATAAGAGAGGGCCTAAGGTTTCTATAGAGATCAGGTTTGTACCTGTAAGTCGTTCCTTAGTTTTCCCTTGCAACTTCATTCTCAGTAATCTCAAAATCAGCAGATCTTTTTCAAATACAGGACATTTGTGAGGGGTCTTCCTGGCTGAGGTTGGTTGAAGCTCCTTTCAGAACAAACTGTCACCATGCAAATTTTTTCATTAACCCTTCTTCATTTATCATTAGACTCTAATATTGAAATAAAATATACATCTCTCTCTGTTCTACACCTGGACATCTGCTCACTGTGACTGTTATGCTATGGCCGCAATTCCCCTTAATTAGGACAGGACACCTTAACCTGTGTCCTCTGTGCAATCATCTTTGTTCAAAGATTCAAAGATAATTACAAATAGCTGCCTGGGAAAAACAACCAGAACTAGGTATTTAATTCTGAGGATGCCAATTCCTTTTCTGCATATACGTTTTTCAGCTTTCTCAATAAAATACAATAAAGTGAGTAGGGCTGTTAGTGCCCAACATCCATAACTAGGCAGACAAGGGCTGCTGAAGCAGGTATATGCAATTTAATGCTGACTGTATGGGCATTGCAAAGGCATGTCAAACTGATAAACTAGATGCTTATACGACTTCATACAGAAACTGTGAGAAGAAGGAAGATTTCCGGTTTTCTTAGCACACGCTTTTATGGAACATCAGAGCAGCACTCCAGCTCGGTATTAAATATATTTAAATATTCACACAGGTTTTTGCCTTGAAGGGAAACAGATCCTAAAGAAAAAGACACAGAATGTTTAAATTCTTAAAAGAGAAATTTTGGTCCCCATATATGACATGATTTATAAATATGTAGTTAAAAGGAACTGATTCACTAACAGGATCATAAATTTGTAGGTAAGTGCTGGTATTTGACTAAAACAATAATGGCAAGCACTAATTGCATGTGGTCTGTTGCATGGCTACTGGAATCAAGTAGTGAAGAAGATCACAGTGCCTTATTAGTTAGGACCACCTAGAGTGATGGAAAGCTTGAATGATCAAAGAGAAAACAGTTTTATGCTGCAAATATTGATATACTCTTGAGCTTTTGAGCACCTTTTAAGATCCAGTATGAACACTTGACATACCAAATACTGAACAGGGAAATGAATGTAGTATCAGGCTACAGAAATTTTGCTTTCATCAAAGATAAGCGAATAATATTTCGTGTTATATTCCTATTCTTTATTGTATCACAAAATAATACTTTTCTTATCACCAGAGCTCAACAACTTACTTTTGCCTACCTTAATCAAGAATAAATTCACCTTTCTTCCCAATAGCAAAGCATGAAACATCCTATCCTATTTTCTCTGCATATCCATATTGAACACTGGGTAGATGGGGTGAAAAAAAAAATCAGGATATAATCTCTTCATAGAAATCCAAAGTAATATGGAGTTGATTATTTACTTTTCCTAACTTGGTTACCCAGTCCCATGGAACTGAGTCTGTGTCTGAATAGCTGAAAAGTTTAAAAGAGAAAGATATATGGTGTCTCTGCAGTATTGTTACTCATGCCTGTACTTATACAAGGCACAGTCTTAAAACACTTCTGCGAACAAAACCCTGTTCCTGAATGTCTGCAAATACAGACAAAAACTGACATGGTTGAAACTAGCTCTGCCTTGGAACTGAACCATAATTGAAGAGTGAGGATTGTCTTGCAGAATTCAAGTGTCCTTAAGTTCTATAATTTTCAATTTATTCACATATATTCAACATATATGAAGTTACTTTTTTGTTGCTGTTGAATCTCAAACTTGCAGACCATTCAGTAAGTCATGGATTTTAATTCTGTAATTCATCAAATCAAATATGATTTATAGATATAAAAAAGCCTTTTGATTCAAGTAAGAGGTGCTGGAAATAAATTTGTGTTAAGAAACCTGAACATTAATTTTAAATTCTACCTTTAAAGAAGTATCTTAAATTGTGGCTGAATAAGAGTAGTGATTTCCTCTGGGAGAGGTTTCATTTAACATAACTGAGGGACATAAGCAGGAGACAGATATAGTTAAATAATAAATAATACCCTGATTCTTCCAGCGTGGGAGTTTTACCCTCCACACACACTGATTTAACATTTGTCTTTGAAAGATCTTTACAACTCTTGGCTTGACAGCCTCTAAATTCTCCAAAATCACTAGAATTTTAAGGAGTCAATTACCTTGTTATAACAGGTCTAATATTTATATTTAATATATTTATGTTTATATTTACACTACACATTTAATATATATTAATATATGTAAATAAATGTAAATTATATAAATGTGTAAATATACATTATATAAAAATACATATAGAAATTATATAAACATGCAATATAGCGTTTCCTCATTAAATAAGCAACACACACTAGCAAAAATAATACTTTGCAGCCTGAAATGGATCAAATAGATCTCAAAATAAAATGGACAACTGCCTAATGAGAAAAGTTGCCACTGCCTCCCTGCCAGTATCTGAAATCCACTTTCGCACTCCTAAAACATCAAGATGTCTTTGTTGCAACAGCTTGACAGAAGCCTTAGAGAAGAATAAACCAGTATATATGATCATATGCTCCACTGCAAAGTCAGCATAGCTTCACAGAGAGCTCAAGCTTGGTATTCAGAAGCTCCAATATCATTTGAGTTTGCTTTTTTAGACCATTTAATCTCTAATGCTGTGTAAAAATACTACCAAATCACAAATGAGCCTAACACTTAAATTCTGCCTTTCTGAAGGCACAATGACAACTCTGGTTTAGAGTTCAGCAAGATATTTGTGTCCAGATTTGGGGAATTACTTTAACATTTTTGGAAGAAATTAGAGGCTGGGGCTGTTGACTTTGAAACATCCCCGTGTTTAAGGTTCAGATCTCATTAGTTTTGGCTAGGAATACTCTTTAATTACTAAAAGAGTTTCCTCAAGTTGCACTTTAGAAATTCATCTTTTTTGCAAGCTGTAAAGTATTCATAAAAAGCTAAAAACTGTGGGAAAATTAGCATTGATGGATGTTTTCTTACCCTCCATCAGGAAATTATGTACTTGAAACTCATTACAGATCTTCATAGAAACTCTGCTGAATGTGCCTTGGGCTTTGTGCTGATCAGCACACAGAGTTTACTGCATAATTCATCTCTCTTGTGTCACATTTAATGTATAACATATATTTCCTGTTAATTATGAAAACAAAAATGCATCCTTTCTTTTAGAAACATAATCATGAAATTACTACAGAAATTAAGAAACATGCAGTTGTATTTTATCCATTTTACACAAAACTTTCCTTTTAAGTCAGTATTAGCTTCTGCACAGAAATAAGAGGAAGGCATTGCATTGAGAAGTCACCAAACACGCTTTGATTCTCCTTCATAAGCTAGACACAGCCTCTTCCCTAGGGTCACACAAGGAGAGGTGCACGGGATCCCTGTTATTCCACTGGTTGTCAAGGCCATTCTTCTCACAGAACCCATGGGTTAGCATGTGGTCCCCGTAATTTTCTTCCCAAGAGAGGCTTAGATATTTTCATGTCTATTTTCATGGATATCAATGAAACATTAGGCACCCCGTATCTCATTTTCCTTATTCAAGGTTGAAGATTATTCAGTAATATTCTACTTCACTTCACTCATCTATCTACATGAGTCCGTTCAGCTTCCCTTACCAAAAGAATGAAAAAACAAAAATCCCATCTCAGCATCATACCCACAGCAATACATCTTATGAAATTATATTGTCTGCCACCCTGAAAGGGTAGGAGAGGGTAAGAGTAAAGTGATGGATCATGAGAAGAAAACTAGCAACACCATAAATCAGAAAATATACTGTTCTTATTTGGAATAAGAAAGGGGAGGGGGGATTGGAACACAATAGTACATTTGGCCCACGTATTTTCATTGATACACTGATTATTTCCTTTCAGAGGAACGATCCTGTGCTGGGATTATTTGCACTGTGGCTCATGAGGCAACTGGGTTAATATAGTTGATATAGCTTTCATAGCTCCCACTAGCATCACATCATTATAGTTTTTTTACAGGGCTTTACTAACTATCAAATCAAAGTTGATAATCCAACAGATGTCATAGACCTATTCTAACCATAAATTTGTATTGCCAGATTAGAATACACTCAAATATTACAGTGTGCAGTTCCCTGAAGAAATACTCTATATTTTGTGATCATAGGCATGTACATCACTTTCAGATATGCAACCACATGTAGCTTGAAGCCTACCTCAGATGCTATGACTCTACTGGCTGCAAGACACGGGAGCCACAGGGTAATCTGAATGAGAGGAAGCAAGACAGCTGCCCTTGAATCCAGACCAATCCTGTTCATCGTGAAGGTTTGATGAGGCCCTTGGAGACTGTAATCTCTCAATAGAGCCAATTTTATCTAGAGAAACAAGCGAGTCTTGATAAAAAGACAGTATCAGCAGTGGTGTCCAGGAACCAGGATCAATTTCCATTTCCCCAGCTGTGGAAGGACCAGCAGCAGAACCCCACCAGAATGACTCTGCAAGCTGACAGCACAGCTTTGGTAGGTTCTCCAGGAGGTTTCAGCTTCACTGCTCCTCGTACAGATGTGAAAAAGAAATTTAACTGCCAGAGCTGATGGTTACAGGGATCTGGCTGTGAAAAACAAGAGAAAAAGGGCCTGGGGGAAGATTTCATTCTGATACAGCTGATCTCTGTAAGAAACAAAAGAAGCCTTGGCAGAAAGACTTTGGGTCTTTTTAACCTTCTCTCAGGGAGGCATTTAAAATCTGCATTAGCAAACAATACACTGGCCACTAGTTATTGTAGCATCTGAATTCCTTCTGTCATACTTAAGCATCAGCTTCTAGAGTCACATGGCTGTGTAAAATCATCCAGTGCTCATTTAAAAAAAAAAATATTAAAAAACCTCTATTCATGATTATGGGGAAAAATTAGGAATTGACTTCTAAAACCACAAGACCTGGAAGGCCAGACATGCCAAATGTACTCACTTCAAACTCATGGCTTTGAAGCCAATCTCAGGACTTCTAGATGCTTAAATCATATTTTATTCATGTGTGGGATGGCAACATCGCAATTGTTGGGACATAACTTTTATAACTCCAAAACCAAAAACACCTCTTAAAAATCACTGGTATAATCAGTCACTCCTTTCTTTTATGGCTAGCTGAACAATGCTGCTTCAGCCTATTTAGAAGGTGAAGATGTAAAATGTTTCTGAATAATAACATAAGCAAGCATGAAACAACCTATAAAGAAAAAAGATCACGAAACATTCTTTTATGATATGCAAGGATTTTACAGACTCATAATAAAAGCTTTTCATATCACCATAGCATTTCACCTCAGGGCAAATTCATAGATTTTGTTTTTTCAAGGTATTGATTCTTTTGTATATCTTAAATGAGATTTAAGTAATAAATCTTTTTATTTTTTTCATCCCTAGCTCTTGGGTTTGGAGTGCATTCCTTTGGAACAGCCCATTTCATCATTACACGCTGCACTTATTTTACAGTTCTTACAAACTTTAAAGTATTTTGGCATTAAGATTCTTTTGGCACTTTTTATCTGTTGAAAGTTGGTTTAATACATTAGAAAAAAGCATTAAAATTATTAAGATGTATGCCATGCTAAAAGTCCAACTGTTCCAAGTGTTCATGAGTTTTCATTCTAAGCCCATGTATTTCACAAAACTTTGTACTGTTTTATTTTTCACCCTCGGGTTTCTTTCACTCTTTACTGGTGTAAACAGTGAGATTGCTATTCTTTGAAAATATAATTGTGAAAATATAACTGTGTGGCTCATCTGTCCATGAAGTACAGTATTTTATTTACAAGAATATTTTATATAAGAGCTGAATTAATGATAGACAGCCTTGACATAACATTTAGGACAAAATATTGGAGCTATATTAGACTACTGTATTACTTTCAGGTTAGCTGATGGATAGTTTACTTTTTGCAGTTTTGAGAGCAGAGATTCAGAATTTTGACAAATCAAATTGAATCCAACAGATCAGAATGTACTCCTCCTAAGCTTTGCTGAACAAAAACTCCATTGATGTCTAAATTGGGGCAGCCTCCTAAAGCTAAGAATCACTGGCCAACAGAATTATGTTGCTCTAGAAGCAATATATATATTGTGAAGTTTCTACATACTGACTGCTCAAGGGAATTTTAAATACAGTTTTGTGTGAATGCTCCTCAAAATAACAATTCTTCAACATTCTCCAAAATTTCTGTCAGTACACTTAGCAGTGTGATTGAAGACAGACACACTCAGAAAACATCCAAACCTCAAACAATACCATATTAACAACACTTTGTAAATGTG